CTATCATTAGTGGCCTGCATCAAGTTTCAGGTTTCTGTTCTTAGCCTTTAATATGTTTAATGAAATGGTTTTCATTTACTGTTTTCACAAAGGCTATGGGCTTCAGTTAGTCTTCAGGGCATTATTGGCTAGCGATGCCTAAACTACTCACAACAAATTTAGACTCTTTTCTATTGCTCCTTGCTGGTAGTGGAACCAGAACCAGGACATCCCTGTCTGTCTTTAGGAAACAGATGATGAACCAGCTCCTTAAAGAACATCTTCTACCCTCTTACTTAACCTATAAACCAAACTACCTCCCTCCTCTGGGGTAAGATCTCTCTGTGCGCTTTCCTCTATTTCTACACTGTCTCCCCAGTTACCTCTGACTAATCCCACCTTGAGGACTGCCTTCCAAATAGCTTATTGTTAGCTTTCTAAGTGTTGACAAAATAAGGCAGGAAACCTGAGAGATTTAACACATTTCGACAGGTTTTTTTTCTTCTGGTATTTCATGTTTTTTAGGACCAAAGAAAAATCCACACCATCAGGGATCCCTCCAGCAAGGTTGACTTTTTTGAGCGAAAGTCCCATTTCTCCAGAACGTGTATGAATAGTTGCAAACACTCAAAGCAGGAAACAAAGGAGATACTGTAGCTGTTTTAAATAAATGTGTAGCCTTTATACATGCAGACAGCCTATACTCGTGTTTACCAACACAGTATCAACAATTTGCACAACAGAAATAAAACATTTCCAGCAAATTATTACACAAATACACGTTTCTGTTTTGTTTGAAAATGGGTTACAAGGGCTCAATAGCTTCCATTAGCAATTGATTTGTTGGCATTGAGGTTATGTCAAAACAGTATGATCTGATAAATGATCAAATATGCCAACAAAGTGTATATTGTTTATGTTTTGGGACAAGTCAATGAAATCAAATTCTTAGGTGTGATTATTCCCTACAAGATCTGCTGGAAGCCTTGCATCAAACACGTCTTGGCTAAACTATGTGGAAGCTTTGCAATTCTAAGTAAAGGAAAACCTTTTCTGAGTTATAAAACATTATACATTTTCTACTCATTTTACCATGCATGAGCTATTGTGTAAAACTGTGGAGTAACACCTACTGGGCATAACTAAGACTGTTAAGCATGCTGCAGAAAATACTCATCCTAATAATTCATTAGGCTGGTTATCGTGACCATGTTATTTTATTAATTCCTGTTTTGCTTTAAATTTTAAAATTTTATTTATATAGTTATGGAATTTATCCCTTAAATATGAAGAATAATTAGGTAAAACCAGATTCGGTTGGCTGCACAAAGTTTGAACACTGAAACATTTTAGCAGAATGGTAAACAACCAAATTTCCATTTAAGTCTGTCTAAAAATTTTTTAATGCAAACATGATGAGTCATACACTGATTTCATACAGTGAAATCTTTAAAATAGGGCTTTAAAACATGCTCACCATGCCCTTTCTTCTCTGTCAGCTTATTGTCAGCCTTTGGGCATCATATTTTTATCAGATTATCATTCACCGTGTTGCTGTGATTCACATCACACCTCACAAAGCATCCAAGTTGCCCCTTTACTGTCACCTTAAACGCTTTTATAAATTTAACAATTTCAGTCCTTGAGAACGTTATTATAGTAACAGGTAGTTGCCTCTTCCACCATGCATGTTTTAGACTTGACCTCAGATTGAGCCAACCTGTTACCACAGATCAATCAATCAATCAATCAATAGATCAATTTCTTTATTTTTTACTACAATTTGCATTGTTAAAGAGATTTCAGTTTCAGTACAAACTGTTCTTTGGGGAACGATTTACTGAGTCCATACTTGCCGCAGAACGCTGCCTTTGGTACATTCTTATGGCTCCCAAGGGCCCCACCAGGCGCTTCCCTATAGCCTGCACTGATACCTGTGCTGACAAAAGGCAAGAAGCAATCAGCACACACACAAAAAAATCAGCAAACAAAACAGCAAAGTGGACGATAACATTTGTTTGCTTTCTTAAGAAAGAAAGAGAGAAAGAAAGAAAGAAAGAAAGAAAGAAAGGAATTCATACAAAATAATGCTCACTAAAAATTCAATTCATAAGGTTCAGTTAGTCTTACCTGTGAGCTTTGCTTCCATGCTTCCTTCTCAAGGCGGCAGTCATTGCACCCTTTACATGTGGCCTGAGTCCACAGTTAAATACTTAGTGTTAGCCCATGGCTCAGTGTCTGACAGCTGACAGACTGACAAGGCCACTGAAAATGATGTGTCTGTGATGATAACAAGCCGGAGAGAACAAATCAGAGGCCCACAGGGATAGAGAGGGGAAACCCAATGACAGCAGCAATCACACCACGCTGAGTAGGACTAATAAGGCAGACAGAAGGCATTACACTGACCAAGACATAATGATGACAGCAACAGAGAGAGTCGATTACATGAACAGAGGAAGATGCCTTGGTTATAGAGAAAGATTTTACAAAGTCCTGATCTCTCTACTAAGTTTGTCCCCTCACCTGCAAAATATCTCAGTGATCAACTGATTGCCACATAAATTGTTAATCAAGCCGAATAAATATATGTGTTACATTTATTTCTAACATATATACCTCAAATTAAATAATTCTGTCATCAAGCTTATGCAAGGTCTACTCTGAAGATTTTTATTTAACTTAGAAATGAACAAAAACACACTTAGTAGAAATGTGTTGTTAAATGCAGCTAAAAGTTAAAAATACAAGGTGAGTTTTTTTGGTCAAAAGGAATCTAACAATCTAACAAAAAACTACCAAAGTACAAATACAGTGCAGTAAATTTCCTCATCTGTGTCATTTGGGGTTGTAATTTCTCTAAAATAACAAATAATCAAACTGATCATTACAGGTGAAGCAGTTTTCTCCACTGCTGTTTAAATTTTTAATAATCAAAGAAAAACATGCCTCTAAATCTGACTTGATAATAACACTGTTGTTCGCCTACTTAGTGATAGCACTGAAGTGAACAAAAAAATATATTTTCCTGTAGAACTCCAGGTCCTGATAAGAAAAAAAAATGCTCCTCAAAATAAAAAGCTATCAGACTTCATTAGCCATGAATAGGATAACATTTGTAGATCAACATCCTAAGATTGAGAAGATCTTCTGTATATATTGCCAGGCCAGCTTCACTGCTAAAGGGGATCAATTCTCCCTCCTTTTTCATTTGTAATGCTAGTGGTACAGCAGGCTGCTTCTGTCTATTGGTTTTGTTGATCAAAATTACCACCAGCTTTGAACAGGTTAGTTTGTTCCAATCAATTCTGGTTTCCATCCATGTAACACCGTTTGTTCTGACTTTAGATAAATAGATCTAAAAAGTAGGTGGATCCTTCCTTTAATTACATGCATAAAACTTTAACTCATTCAAATGTTACTAATTTCTTCAGCACAAAAAGGTTATTTCCCCCTGTGACGCTTCAAGGAGTAGATCCTTTTGTTGCACGTGGTTTGATAATCAAAACAAGATGCACACTCTGGTCTGCACATAAATAGCTTAATGAATTTCTCCTCTGCATCCCATTTCATTTGTGAAGCACAGCACTATAAACAATAAAGACAATATGAATAATGTTTTTTTTTTATTATGTCTTACTGTATACTGTAGCAAGGGAAAGCACAACAGATTTACTTTCAGAAGATACAAATATAACATCTTCATTGGACATTGCCAGGGATTATTTCCAATGCAATGAACCAGGTAATAATATGTTGTAAGACATAAACTTTAATAAACGGGAGATTTAAATAAATGAAATGACAGAAAGCTCCTTGTGGTACTAAAGTGTGCTTTGACTTCACAGTTTATCAAACAGAGAATTAGAGACCATTGCACCTTTAAGATGTCTGAGAGACAAAGCTTTTTACAGTCAGTTAAATGAAGAAAGATGCAGACAGACTGAGTCAAAGTCGACTCTTGAGGCTTGTTCCACATTCAGTGTAGACTGTGTCCAATGCTTGCCTCTTTAAACTCCTCTCTCTGTTCAAGCAAGTGTCGTATCATTTTTGTGGGAGTTCCTGAAAGCAGTTTGTCTTCATGTTCTATCCTCAAGCATCTTCTTTCAGTTCTCTGGAGGGGAGACAATCTTTGTTTGTTTTTTTAGGTAACATGAACATAAAGCTTTGAGACTTTGCGATCATTTTTGACCCTCATAGTCTCGTCACAGAAATAGTTTTTGTTGTACAAATTGAGAATTTTTAAATTAATGTGACTGATTATTTTCTTAAAACTCTAATGCTGTATAAGCGTATATGTTTAGTTGCTGATTGTATCCTGATAAGTTGTTGCAGATTATAGTATCAACCATCTAAATCCTGCTCTTAATTTTCTCATAACAATCTGACAATATTTGTTTTCTAATATATATATATATTTTTTTAAATGGCATACAACTTTTAACCAAACAACATTTTACTGAAGATTTTTCTCTAAAGCTTAAGAGGCTATTTTACTCAAAACCTTAGCAAATTAATCACAATTTATATACAAGTAGTTCATCTTAAGCAGCCAAAGCAGGGAGAGGTGTTGTATGGGGAGAATAAGCTGAGGAATATTGTATTACTATAGTAGTACGTAGTTAAGTTATTCATCTACCCCCAGGGTATTTTTTTTTTTATGTTTCAGCTTTATACCAAGTGACTTAAAAAGACTTCTGCTCTGGGAGAAGCTCCGACATCTGTTGTTTTCTGGATGCATCAGTGCATTCAAGAAGTTATATTAACATAAAAACTTCCTGGTGTCTGTTGATGTATTCAATCAGGCTTTGAGGCTGTTGGGACAAAGCTTTTATCCCCGCTTATCTAACTATAGTAACTGGATAATTTCAAATCTTCTCCTCCTTGTTAAAAATATAGTTACTCCTCTGCAATATTAGCTTTGCTCATCAGAGATCTCTAGCATCTCCAAGCCGACTGTTATTGTTACACCATCATCTCCTCAGGATCTCATATTTCCCCTTATATCCATCTCCTTACAGTCATCTGCAACTTCCGAGGCTCAGTGACTCAAGGTTTGGCTGTGGAGGTGGGAGAGACAGTGCAGATCTTGGAAAAATGTGAAGGTAAGGCTTCAATGTCATAAATTTCTCTTTGTAATTGTAATAATGTACTTCTTCATTGTTACAAAGAGCTTTAACAAACGCCCAGAGCACACGTTAAACATATCCTCTAAGATTTAGCATAAATATTTAATCATCCTCTTTTGTCAAAGGTTTTTTTGCATACATAAGGAGATAATAAAACTGTGGGGATACACACATAATAAGATTTTCCCAGCTGAAAGAGGAAGATTTCTGTTGTGCAGACTGTTTTAGATTTAGCCTTTCTGTTTCACATTATGATATTCTTATAGAAACAATCTAGTTTCCTGTGATACAACAATATTATTGTATCATAAATATGAAAAATAGAAAAGTTTGTCTGTAGTTGGCAGAATTGTGGCCCTTTGATTCTTATAGAACATAATTAGGATTGAATAGAATTAGAATAGAATTCAGCTTTTTTATTGTCATTACATTGTCACAAGTACTAAGCAGCAAGATTCACTCTCTGCGTTAAACCCATTGCTTTGGGAAGCGGTGGGCTGGCATTGTGAGGCACCCAGGGAGCAGTGTGGGGGTTAAGGGTCTTGCTCAGGGGCCCAGAGGGGCAGTCAGTGGGAGTGAGGTTGAATTCTGAACCTTTGGGATCCAAGCACAATGCCATAACCACTAGGCCGCCACTCCTCTAAATTACAGTGTTTTGTCACCCCTATAACCAGACTGATCAGGTCCTGATCAGGATCAAGGACTTTACTCCACAGTTACAATACTGAACTAACAGCATTTAGGATGAATTATTGAACTGTAAATGATTTTAAATACTACCTTACAATGTCATCAGAGACTAACAAATAATCAAACATAATTTTCTGAACCAATAATAGATTATGGATATAATTGGGTTAATGTTGTGGATTCTGATCATCTATTGATTGCTTTACATCACACATACTGTAAGGACTGTAACAATACATGTATTTATACTCAGCTGCCAGGGTTGTACCGTAGGGTTTTATTCATACAAAAGGAAAATGCAACACTAGCGGGTGATCAATGTCCTCATTAAGAGGAAGGTTTCTTGTGTATTTCTTTGTTTTGTCTTAAGAGTCATGACAGAAAATAAGCTATGTTAAGCTTTTATCAATTGCAGCAGTGTTGAAGACTAAACATAACTACTAATCAAAGTTTTTAGGAGCTTAAAGGCTCACTTTCTCTACCTATCAATGCTTTTTAATTAGATTTAAAAAAAAAAAAAAAAAAAGTTATGCTTCAAGTGATGCAAAAATAGATGTGGAAATGTGACAACCTATTTCATCACTTATTCTCCTGCTAAGAAACCCCTGAGTCTAATGATGCCAAATACTAAACAAATACTTTCTCTAAGGTTTTATAATCTCATTAGAGACAAAAAAAAAAATCCAGCTATTGTACCTTATAGTCCTGCCTTCCTTTTATATCCAAGTTATGAATAACCAGATTCTTCCCAGCATTAGATATCTGATATAGTTTAAGCCCCTTTATGGCTAAGATGGTTGGTTATGGTCTTAAATCTTTTTAGAGCCAGAAAATTATTTTGGATTTTTTAAACTTATATGCTGTTCTGAGTTTTGCACTGGAATATCAAAACTGAGATATTCATCAAACTCTAACCAGTGTCAAATATGGCATCTAGATAAATTAGGCTTAATAAAATCCATGTTTGACGCTAAATACTTTTTAATCCATATATATATATATATATGTATTTTTTTTTCTTCAGTTTTTACAGCACTAGTGGCTCATTTTTTTGAAAGTAGGCTAACAGGAAAGGGGGAAAGACACGTGGGAAAGAACCACAGGTCTGATTCGAACCCGGGTCACATGCGTAGAGTACCAAGGCCTCCATACATGTGTCATGCTCGCTAACCACTGCGCCACCTGTATGCCCAAAGCAACATTTTTTTAGCTGTTGAGTCTAAAGAGCTGTACTGTAGGTGTCAGGTTGTTGGAGAGGTTCCTATATTTTTTTCAGATAAACAGCTTTTTTTGGCGTTTGTATTATGCCCTCATTTTTCTAATATTTAGAACAAATCTAATAATTTCAGCTAGATGAGAAGGACATCAGAAAGTCAATTTTTAACAAATGTTAGATTTTTTTTAATATCTTAATATTTATTTATTTTTGTACACAACATTCTATAAACAAGCTTTATCTTTTTTTGCTTAAAGCTGATAAAAGCTAAAATAGTTTTTGTCAGAAAGATCAAGGGTTATAATTAACCAGTTAAATAATTTTTATCGCAGAGACGTACTTGAGATTACCTCTCTTTACCCTGTAGTATTTGCCCTCATTTCTTTGTTTGGGCTCATTTCGCTTAAGTTACTGTTTCAAACTAGTGCTGAATGGAGGTGGTCACTGCTTGGTTGTTGAGGATCCCCTGCTTCTTTTCATAGGAGGCTTCTGCTAATCGGCATAATTGGGTCCAGTGTTCCATATCTTCCTCTTTACAGTACCCAATTGGTCATATAATGGTGATTAAAAAAAGTACTGGTATTTTTAGAAGTGTGAGTAGATGTCTGATTACTCCGGTAAATGGGATCAGCAGCTCAATAAAGCTGGACAGCGAGGAAACCTTGCACTGAAACAGCAGCAGCCTGGATACTGTTCCTCTTTATTCTTCTCACACTGGGAACTAATTTACAAATGAAAGTAAAAATTTGCATGCTTGAAAAAGAGGTTTCGGGACTACAGAGACAGCAGTCTGGTTCCTTTTCTATTCACACAGGCCTCTTCTCATGTTGTCTGTGGTACAGGAGGAACTTAACACAATGAATGTGACAGTTGTAGGCCATGTCCTGGATATGTCTGTGCGGGTTGGTGTGTGGTTACTCTATTTCTTGGCCGCCCTTTCTTTTGGAAACATTTTTCAAGACACACTGAACCTTCGGATTTTATGCTTAATTACAGAACTCTGTGAATCACCAAATTCTAGATTTTTTATAAATTACCCTCATTTTAGAGGGTGCCTAAGGTTGTCTGGTTAACAATTGTCAAGTCAGCATTCTGTTTTATAAATAAATACATTTTTAGTCACCCAGATAATGGCAAGCACAAAGCATCGGAGGCAGCCAGACTTTAGTTCATTTTTATTTTTTTCTGAAATGCCTCTAGAAGTGACAAAGACTCCTGAATAGATGTCAAAATGTTTTCAAGAAAACTGTGAAAAAGTCTGGTTGCTTCCAGTTAAATCCTGCATTGTGAACTTCACAAGCATTGCATAACATTCCTGTATTAAACTTTTTTTAACTCTTAATTTGGATTTCGCATCAGCTGTTAACTATAATCCCCTAAATCAAAAGGAAATATATTATTGTTAGTGGTTTATCTATTAAATGAATGCTGGTTTTGTTTGTTAAATTCTTTAAACAGATTTCAGTTTGAGGATGTTTTACTGGTAAGCAAGACATGTCCAAGTACATTTAAAAGAATAAAGTTTTGGGGATCTTTTCATCCTTCGTTTGTGGAAAATTAAGACATTCTGGGTTCAAACTAACTTAAAATTAATCTCTCATTAATAAAAATAATACATTAATTGAGCTATTAACCTCTACTCCTTATGTTTTCCTCATTTTCATTTGTTAGGAGGGCCCCTAATGGAAAAAGTTTCCCATTAATGCAGCTTAAGCTTTCTGGACAAAATTCTGCTAAATACAAGCGAAGTATAACATATTGCAATTCTCTCTTTTTTATTTAATGGTTGCAAATATTCTGGATAAGAGCCAAAGCTATTAGCAAATGCTAATTCTACATTTACCCCCAACTTGACTCCCAAAATTTCCAGCTCAGGCAAGAATGAGTCTGAGGTTAGAGTGTGTTGTTTTGGAGATAATGACAGAGAATGTGGCCTATTAGTCACAGCTGGGCAGTACAATAGCATATATCCAGTGCCAGTGGCTGATTAGGCTCTTCCTCACCCTGGTGGTAAGATTTGTGCACGAAGTGAAGGGATGCAGAAGGAGAGGGAGGAATGTTCTGTTGATGGATGAGAGGAAATTGCATTGATTAACTTCTCTCCTCTAGCGTCCTTATGCTGTAGTGTTATCCTGTCCTGGGAGCCTCCTTACTTTTTTTTTTCATTAAGTCCCCCTCCCCCTTCCTTTTCTTCTTCTCAGCCTTTTCAGTTTTACTTCAACACAGTTCCTCTCCACTCGCTGTGCCTACTGACCAAGAGGAGTTGTATCAAAGGTTCAGTAACTCCCATGTTACCCTATCAGCATCTAATTTGCCCTGGTTATGAAATGCAGCACTGCTTGTGAGGGATTTAGGCTATTATCTTAGCTCATGTGGCACAAACTTAAATCACAGTTTTTCCTCTAATCCCAAATGATTATCAGGCCTAACCAGGACTAACTTCTTTCATGAATCTGAAATTGAAGATTCCCACTGTTGCTGTTGTAATCTGAATATTTCAGTTGAACATTGGCTGCAAACAATGGATGTTGATAAGAGCCGAATATATAAGAGAATGTCTATGAATATGATATTTAAGGTATGTGTCTCTTTTATTGTCTTTCACGGGAAGCTATTGATTTAAGAGATTCTTGAAAGCACAATTATATGATTATTCACAATTGACTTCCAGCCATTACCTGGGGTACTATTGAAACATGCGCAATAAGCTGCGATTCAGTTTTACCACAGTCATTTGAAAAACAGCAGGACTTTTGAAAAGTCCTACACAGTAGGACTTTTTAAAATTACCCCAGGTTTGTTAAGAGGCCAGATAAATGCAGTGAGAGAGTTTAATCTGAAGAGAATGAAAAAACTGTAATAAAATTGATATATTCCACTTTCTGTGACGTCAAATAAAGCTGCATGACTTGAGGTAAGAATTAGGGATGTAAACAAATAATTAAATTATGAATACTTGTCTATTAATAATTAACTAGATAAAAAATTGTTCCATCTGACTAATTAAGTTTAGTTCAATTCAGTTTATATATATATATATATATATATATATATATATATATATATATAT